GCCCGGCCATGCCGCTCCTCGCCGCCTCTGCGGGGCGCTGGGAAGTTTCCCTGGCGCTCAGGGCAGGTCCCTCCCGGCCCGGCCCAGCTCACGCCCCTCCCGGCTCCCCGCTGAGGGAGGAAGCGAGGGAGCGGGCGGCCCGCCGCCGCGGGGCCTGGCCGGCGCTGCCTGCCCATGTCACAATGGCCCTGCACCCCGGGGCTCCCCGCGTGGGGCTGAGGCGGGCTGGCCTCAGCCGCCCCCTGCCCCGGGACGCCCCAGCTGGGGGCTGAGCTCTTGCACAGCGCACGGAGGGCTCCGGAGGTGACTTTAGAGTCACACACCCCCCCCCCGCCCCAGCAGGTCTTTCCTCGGGGGCGAGTAGAGCCTAGGCTGGGATTGCTCTCCTTTTCCTTCCTCCGCTCCCTCTTCTGGGCTTGGGGATGCTTCCCCTCCAAACCGGCTGAGGTTGGGGGGCCGCTGGAGTTGGTTCAGCCGCCGGCTCTTGTGGGCTGCACCTGTTGGCTTGAGGTCGGCCTTCAGTTGTCCATGTAGGGGTCCCTCTGGGCACTGCGAGGGCTCAGGCTGTTGCTACGACGTTTCATGGACAGGCACCATGGCATCCTAGAAGAGAAGCAGAGCTGGCAGAGACCTCCAGAGATCACGTCTAGTTCAACCCCCTGCCTGAGGCAGGACCATCTCTCTCCAAACCATCCTACACAATCTAGCATCCAAACTCTTTGCCAAACCACTGTCACCACAGATACAAAACAGTGCCCTTGGGCATGACCTAACATTAGTCCCTTCTTGCCCCTCTGGCTGGGGAGGCTTTGGCTGGACCCCTGGTGACTGGGGCCATCTTCCTGTCTCTTATCTGTTCACATCTCCCAGCAGAGTGTTACTGGGCAGCATCTGCTGGTTTCTTGGACTCATTCAAAGGGCATTTGGTGCTGGCTGGTGTGCTCTGCTTGGTGCCCACCCCCTTGAAGCACTTGTTATGAACCCGTGACCCTCACTCCTGTCTGTTTTTACATTAGTTGTCCCAAGACCTCTGTTGTTGCATACTTAGTAACCCTCTCTAATGACAGAGGGAACTAGCCATTTCTGTGTGGGCCCATGCCCACATTTCTTCAGATGCCAAATAGGCCTGTCTGTTTGGGTACCACTGCACTCAGGACTGGGCATCTCCTGGTATTTACATCTGTTTGTCACTGGAAAAGAATTCTGTTAAACTTCAAACTTCTGTTTGTGTGGAGATAAAGTATCCTATAAACCTACCTAATCTTTACTTTCAACACTTCTTTCACCATTCCTCTCAGTTTGTGGCACAAGAACTTACTGGAACTCTATTAACAAGGAAACCATTTCAAATGTGAATCAATCCTTTGGGCTCCTGACTGTTCCCAGCTTCTCCATGGAAAGGTCCCATAGTGTTGGACTAGTTGCAGAATATATTGTTTGTTTCTTATCAGCAAGACACTGCATCTAAAAGGTCTCTGCACCACTGTGTTTTTTAAGATCTGTTCTTAAAAAACAATTAGCTGTAGAGTTATGTAACACCAGAACAGACTATCATTTACTATCCATGGAGATGTGTAATATCATACAGAGTGTTTATGCCCAAAGTTGCACATGGCCAGGAATTGCAGTCACAGGCACAAAAGGATAAGGAACACTGAAAAGCAGTGCTGAAGTGAGCAGGGAGTGTAGATGTACAAAAATTGTGAGAGAGAATGTAGTTGTCCAATAACCACAGATACAAGACTCTTGCTCTGATCAAAAACAGGTGTGTATGGAAAGATTTGTGTCCACCTATTTACAAGTCTTAACAGAGACTGTATTTTGTAAGGTGACTTCAAATGAGCATGGCAAGGTACAACCAAAACTCCCTCCATTTGGAGGGCAAACCTACATCTTGCTCAGAATTTTTGAATACTGGATCTGGAACTTTGTATTTAAAACAAGCAGGAGAGAGCTATAGTTGGAATATCATCAGGAGAGATTTTCAACAGGAGATGCTGGTTTTATAAAGCAGACAAAGCTATAATAAAATCCAATGGGTAGATTCTGGAGCTAGACAAAATGAGATTGGAAGTAAGGTACAAATTTTAAGTGAAGGTTAATGAATATGAATTTGCCATGACATCTAGTGGAAGAGAAATGCACGTGACCAGATTTATGGATACAGGAGACATGCAGACTAATTTATTGCTGGTGGAGCTATTTAAATCAAAGGAGATCCTCAGAAATTAGTCCAATCCCAAGACCGCAGGGATGGAGAGATCTACTGAGACCGGCAGATTAAGATGGTAAATGTAATTAATTGGCAGGTACAGATAAGGGCTCTGCACTAAATTGAACATGAAACCAGGGAAGGAACCCTGGTGTTCATCTCCAAAAGCAAAATCCATTGCTATTGACAGGAGAAACTCTATTCAGCAGAATATGACTATGCCACTCATCTGGCCCCATATGGAGATACCAACTTTATAATATGGCAGCATATTACACCAGATTTGCCATGCTTCACTTCCTGAATGATTGGACATTCAGGGTGTGCAGATATGTGAGAATGCAGCAATGTGATGACAGAGATAGCAGATATGCTGAATTCATACATATTTTGTAAATGTCAAGTTCTAAAAAGACCCAATTCAAAAAGAAAAAATATTAATAATACACTAGTGCACCAATGGGAGAATATCCCTTCACTCAGCCACTTAGGGCGCTGACGGAAGTGACATTTGTCACATGATCAGCCCCTTGAAAGCACTCTATAGCCATCCCCTGACAGAAGAGAACGGCTGCAGAGCGCTTAAAAAGTGCCCAATCGCACAACAAATTAACCCTCATTACATGAGGGTTCAGATGAAGGCGCTCCAAAGTGGAGCACCTTCATTAACTTCTGTCTGATCGGGGCTGGGCTGATGCAGCCATCCCCGTCCGCAGTGCTGGCAGCACGATGGGAGGGGGAGAAGGGAGGGGATGGAGCTCTGGGCTGGGGTTTGCCCAACCTGTGCTTGGGAGGGGTGGGATGGATTGGAGCTCCCCCCTGAGGCAGGGGGGAGCTCCAATCCACCTGTCCCCCCTCCAGCACAAGCTGGGCAAACCTTCCCTTCTCCCCCTCCCATCACACAGACAGCACCAGCCCTGGTAGTGCTGTAACTCATGTTGCTTTGTGTGAAGCACCATGAGTTACAGCAGGGAGCTGCACTTTGGTCTGCATGCTTAGACTAACCTACCAAAAAGTGAAGCAAAAGTGTAAAGCAAAAGTTTCTCCCTCTTCCCAGCTCCCCCTGCACCACCTCCCAGCAAGCTGCAGATCACTTTTTGGGTGGAAACGGGTATCAACTGATGTCTCATGTCTGCTGCCATAAAACCTTTTATGACAAGTTTGTTAGCATATAGATGTCATTACCCTTCGTCATGCCACATCAAAGGAAAATCAGTGACACAACAAAAGCAAGTAATAGACTCTGCCACTTTTTGCAGCAGACACCTGTTAGCTCTGTGGTGGGAGAGTAGGAGCAACCTGAGCTGCTGCTTCTCTCCAGCCACCCCAGGCAGGTGCTCCAGAGAAGGTCAGACTGCCTGTCCATAAGTGTAGAAAGTGGGGTGAACACCTCAGTCCTTGTCCTACACCATTAAGAGAGCGGGAACAAAAGGCAGCACATTTCATCCAATGAAGTGGACAGTAGAAATAGCACAGCTGATCCACTTAATTTAGCAACATTTCTAGCCTTTAAGACAAACCATCTGTGAATTAATTGCCTTGTTTTTTCATTATCACCAGAATCTAGCCTCTTCCAGTAGCAGCTCAACCATTATAACCCAGGGAGGAAAAGTCATTTTAAAATGTTAATCTGAGTCCAATATTAAATCAGTTTAGTTGATCTGATACCTATAGCTGATTGCTTACACACACCATGCTGTTCTGTGCTCTTTACTTCCTGCTCCTAAGTGTAGGGGCTTTACATAGGTTAAGCCATTTCCTTGATGCCTGCAGTCCCTACTGATTTTATACTTCTTTGAATCTTTGCACTTTAGCTCTGTTTTCTTTCAATTTTGGGGTTTCAGGGGCGGGGTTGAAAGCTTAGTTGGATTTTCCACAAAAAATATGTGATCAAGAAAAACACAAAGTTGAGCTGGGGACCAACTTTCCTTTTAGGAAAGTTTGCTTAGGAAAAAATGCTGTTGGAAAATACTGGATTGTACAACAACTACAGCAGAAAGTTTGCTATTTGACTATAGTGCTGACTGGTTATTCACCAGTGACAGAAGCAGCCCAATGGTCCACCTACAACTTGCTGTACATGAACTACAATTTGAAAGCCACTGCAGCAAAGAAAGGCATTCGGCAAAAATTTGCTTGCTAATAATTAATTTTTCAGTTAGATGCCAGTTTTCATTTATTACTCTGTACTTTAGCTACTTGTTAAAATGTATGATTAATTCAAAGTATTGACGTTAGTGAAAGGTTAAGCCAACTTAGATACAATCTAAGCACTATTCAGCTGTGAAAATTCACCCAGAAGTTGAAATAAAATTTACTGAGATTTATTAAATACATTTAAGGGTTTTTTTGCTTTGTTTTAACTTCTGCTTTGCTGCTGTTTTAACTTCTAGTTTTGTGGCCAAGGTGAAATGGATACATTTCCTGAAAGTCTATTCTTGCAGGCTCTCCAGCTTCATTTTATAAACACAAAAGATATTGACAAGCTTTAGAAACCATCCAGACTTTGGAATACCAGTAATCTCTCATGAGAACTAAAGTTATTTCCTATCGCTTGAGCTAGGTTAATTAGACTTGATGCAAACTCTCATAAATATACTGTGAGGAAAATATAAAAGAAACGTTTTGAAAATTAAGACTGTATCTACATAAATATTAAAAATTATTTTCAAATATATTAAAAATATTATTTCCAAATAAAAATTACAAATTAAACACCAAGTTTAAAACTGTGATAAATTAAGACTGAATTATAAAGACTTTAGGAAATAGGTTATCGAACAGCTTATCACATTTTTAAAAAATGACAAAAATATCTTTCTCTCTCAAAAATGGTTATTTTCACTTCTCCCCAGTCACGATGGAGCTGTAGGATGATTGGGCTGATGCTGCTCGGATGGACACAGCTATATTTTAGCACCATGGCAATAGGTGTGTCAGATTCACTAAAGAAAGGGCCAGTGGTAGAGAACATGCCCAGAGATCCCAATCTTTTCTTCTGCCAACTCGCTCAAAAAAATGCAAATCTCCGGCACATATGTAAGGTCTTTCACCAGATTGCTGGATTTTTCTGAGTCATATTCATGGCCCAGTTTTACAGGTAGGTGCTGGAGTTTTCTGTGGTGGCCAGTTGCAGGTACTCTAGGGTGCCTTTTCGGTAGCTGGTTACACGTGCAGGCTCATGTGCTTGGAATCCTTCCTCTTGTCTTTGTAGACACTCTGTAATCATCTTTGCCAAGTCAGCTTGCAGCCGCTGCTGATTCTCCCTAAAAATAGGAGGAGGAGAAAGATTTCAATGACTCCTCCAACACAGCTGCTATAATCCTTGGCTCCAAAGCATTTTTCTGACAATTGTATTGCACTGTTTCCTGAAGCCATTGACATTACTGTTGTAGAGTATGATCAGAATCAATTCTAGGTAGATATGGAAATACAATTCAGAATTTACTTTAGACTTCTCAATAATATGTAGTAGGGTTGGAGTGCTGTTATACGCATGAGGGTCCACAGAAAGTATGAGAATCCAGTGTTTACTGGTAATATCTTTTATTGGACCAACTGTGTAATTGGGATAGCTTTTTCCTCACAAAAAACAAGCCTTGCTTCCCAATAATATGAGCTAATGTCTCCCGTTCACAGAGCCTGTGAATTATCTTGGAATGGAAAAAAAGAGAAAAACCTTAACTGGGTGCATATCTAACTTAGATAAATGCTGATTTTATGTTAATTTCCAGTTTCAAGCATTTGCAATATTGAGCTACAGGTGGCCTTTAATAATAGAGATATTGAACATTAGGGTTGCCACCCTTTTTTTTCCACAGAGGATAAATATAGAAGTATATGTATACAAAATACAAAATTATAATAAACTGTATGTATATGCTATACATATAAAATATGTGTTACACCTATAACATATCTGTGTGCTAAGGCAAAAACATTACAGATAGCAACAGAATGGATCTGAGGGGTACCTTCAAAATACAACTGCCCTGGCAAAGTGCTCAAGCCTAATCCTGCCTCTCTCTAGTCTCTTTTTTTAACTGTATTTAGGTTTTAAAAGCACAGTAGTTAAAACAGAAATATAATAAAGAAGCTAGCAGTGTCTCTTGCTCAGCTCATAGGCAAATGGTAGAGAATCCATGGGATTCTTTGCTAGCCAGAAAACTCACTGGTCTCTGTTCTAGAGAAACCCCTTCAAGAGTAAGTCCTTCCTGCTTGAGGTGGGTATGAATAGATGAGCAGAGAAAATGTAGTCTCTAAACCTTATATTTATTAAAGTAACCTTCTAAATGAGGATGAGATGTAACTAAAAGCCTACCTAACTCTACAGATCACCTGAAACAATAACTAAGACATGCAAACTTCAGTTGGGCGTTGACTGAAGCTTAGCCTTCCAAAGCACATTACACTTAAAACTTGATTAACAGATTAATCATGTTTTAAGTGATGACCTGGCCACACATGCAGTCATTAAACAGTGTGTGATAAAACCAGGAATAAGTGACAAAGGTATTACACAAAATATGTGCAATAACTTTGTTGTTGGTTCCTATCATGCCTTTAAATGAATGTGTGGCCAGTGTTCCCAGCCTCCGGAGCCAGGGCTGAAAGAATGCATAGGCAAACTAGGTACATGCCCAGGGCCTTAAGTGAAGAAGGGGCTCAGTTGTGCTTATTTTACACATTATAATTATTGAGTGACAAAAGTAATATAAATATACAGTATTAAGTAGGGGCCCACGAGTTTGTTTGCTGAGGGCCCACTAAAGAGTTAATCTGGCCCTGTCAGGAGTGCACTCCCATGTGTTCCAGAGACTGGGAGCACTGGTCAGCTGATACAGAGTCCCAGCTGGAGGAGCACAGTGAGCTTCCTTAGCTGGGAGCCCTGATCAGCTGACAGAGCTCCCCACCAAAGTGCAAGGTATCCCACCCCAGTTTGGAGTTCCAGCACTGTTCAGAGCTCCCAGCCATGAGGGTACACCCAGGGTCTCCCTACGCCAGCATTATGATGTGATGGGATGTGATATATGATCCCAACAATCACACTTCTTCCCACAGATGTGTGGCATAGCAAAAGGTGTGCTTATGGGGATTGCATATCAGATCCTATCATGCATCGTGCTTTCTTTTTAACATCTGTCTGGGGCCTTAGCATTGTTGGGTTAAATGTTAATGTTGTTAACTATTTCACAACAGATAAAATCATACAGAAAAAAGGGAAAATCTGGACTTCCTATTGTAATTAGCATTTCCTTTTGGATCCAAAGTAGGTGGGGGGGGGGGGGGAATTTTTTTTTTTTTTTTTTTTTTTTAACTGACCCTTGGTACACAGTGAATCTCAACCTCTTTCCTTATGTGTCTTCAATGAATGTTTCATATCCAAGGCCCACATCCCATAAAGAACTTGACCATATACATCCCTAAGTAGATGAGGAATCCCAGAATGAATCCTATCATGAATATTTGCACGTGTCCATAAATCATTGCCAATCTGTGTCCATTATCTGCGCCCAAGTTATACCATGTAATATAATGAGCTAAAAGTGTAAGGGGAATGGTAAAAGATACAGTGAAAAGGCTTCCTTTCTCCCCATATACTGTATAAAGAGCATCTTACACAGAAGGGGGAGTTGGAAGATTATACTTCCCATCTTCCACACCCGTCAGCCAATAGGTAATCTCCGTTCCTCTACCCTAATATGATGGAGAAGAGAAAAATAGTTTAGGGATCAGACTAGCACAGTTTAAGGATTTGATTGCTAATGTATGTGATTTATTTATTTTATACTATACTTTATGACTGTTGTATTGTCTTTGCTTGCTTTAGGGAACGAGCACTCAGAGCATAGGGTGGACGTCTACCAAGATTTATAAACTGAAATAAATATTTATATCAAAACAAAGATGAGCAAATGAATAACAGTCTTGGCTTCTCTATCAACAGTCCTGCTCATTGCTCTTTCACTGAAGAGGAATGTCTTCATTATCTCAGGGCTTGTGACTTCAGATAGGTCTCTCTTGCTCACCTCGCGTTAGTCTAATAAGATAGGTAATGCTCTCGGAGATAAAATGCCTTTCAGGTAGGTTTTGTTTCTGTGTGGTTGTGGTTGGTTGTGGAGGAATGTATGAGGTGTTTGTTACCTTTAGATAAGTCTCTCCTCTCTCTTCATACTGGAACTGGCAGTCTGTCCTCTTCAAGATGGCAATAGTGGAACCACTTACGTGAATCCGTAAAGCTAGAAATAAACAAACAGCACATGCTCAGCTCAGAAGCTTAATGCAAAATCATGTACATCGCCTGTGTAAGTCTATGCAAGGGCAGCAGCTTTTCTAATTGGCCCTGATACCTTCAGACAAATTCTGTGGGTAAAATGGTAAGAAACTTAATAGTCTATTTCTATACTAAAAATGCTATTAAACCATAGCAGTGTGATATCTGGAGATAGAGCAAAGCAATTAAATAAAAGTAAGTGAAAAAAACCAAAGGCCTAAAATAGAGATGATAAAAGTATTTGCAGGGTATAAACATCAAGAAGGGAAAAGGATCGTGGAGTATAACTAGCAATAATGAGGAGACACTGAGCAAAAAGTAAAAAAGTGTAGGCTGGCTTTCAGAATTGAAGTTCTTAATGGTGAAGTTCAAATCATAGAGAAGTAGGGCTAGAAGAGACCTCCAAAGGTCATCTAGTCCAACCCCCTGCCTGAGGCAGGATCATCCCATGTAGTATCATTCCCCACTTGTAAATTATTAGACTGTGAAATATTTATATATTCAGATTGAATAATAAAAGTAATGAAGTCAACTATGCACCCTGCTGTCATTAGAAATAAATGCACTTGCATAAATCTCATTTAACATAAAATGATTATTTTAATTAAATTAAAAGAATCTTTTCCCCAGGAACTATTTGAGGAACCAGCCACTTATACCCTCCATCAATTAGAAAGCAGGTACAAGGAAGTCATACATTATCTAAGGCCAAGCTAAAAGAACAGACAGCATGAACTGATAGGTTTTTTCTATCTTTAAACTGCTATAATGTAATGATAAAATTCTTCTCAGCTGGAGAAGGAATGCTGACTGCGCAGTAGCCCAATACTACTGCGCAGTAGCGTTGTGTGGCAACAACTGTGATGTACCGCTACTGTGCAGCAGTGTCACAAAAAAGATGTTCATTGGCACTTGGGTTACTGCACAGTCATTTAGTACTGGTTTATGTCTCGTGTAGATGCGGCCACTGGCTCTCAGTACAAACCAGCCTACTGCTAAATTAGAGGTGAACTTCAGTTCTTACGTAAACCCGTAGATTCCATCCGTGAAGCTGTGTTCACTGTGTCTCCAAACAGACAGTAACGAGGCATCTTAATCCCAACCACACCAGCAGCACATGGACCTGAAAACGGGGGACAGGGAAGGGAAAGAAGGCAGAAAGACTGAAACCTGAAACTCAGGAACTAATGTGCTTCCATCCTCACAATGGAAGTTCTCTTAAGGTCACATCTCAGAGATGGCACTTCTTTCAGCAGAGCATGTCCAACACCATACTATAGCACTAGATTCAGTCCTGACTGTGATTACTATCTACATCACTTCTTACACCCAAGAACGGACCAAGCCTGTCTCAATTCAGCTTGTTAGATACAATCTGAGCACAACAAAGGCTGGTAGAGATGCACAGAATTAACTGTATTTAATAAATTTCTGTACCAGTAAAAAAGCGTACCTAGTAAATATTAATTTTAGAAGTACAGGGGAGAGAAAATTTATTTCATAATGGAGGGCCTAGTGGTGATGTCCCTAAGGCCTTCTCTGTGGTTAGGTTAATTGAGTTGTTTTATCCCTTCCTTGGACTGTGGACCCTTAATGGATTACTGGCTCTCAAACCACCAAAAATATAAAGAAAACATTTCCCCAGATACTTGAGATCTTTAACTTATCCACAGCCCCTCTTTGAGTCTAATCCATTTCAATCATTAATTAAAAATGCATTCCCAAATGAAGCTTGTTCAGAAGATTTGCCTCTAACAAAGTACTGAATATTAGCCTGTTCTACAGTGTTTGGACAAGTGTGTTTAAATGTATCTAATTTTCCCTCTTGTAAGGAAGGGAGTATTTTCTAATAGCTCGGTTGAGTACAAAATGTCCCTGACTCAACCACATGAGGGACTATCGAGGGTCGGTTTGCTTAACTCCATCCTAAACTGCAAAATGAGGTGATTGCACTATCTGAAAGCAAGCCAATGGTTTATTAAAGCTGGCTCCTCTCCTTCCAACAATGGTCTTCACAGAAAGTCAGCCCACAACACACACAACCAGCTGTGCACCGTGCTATCCCACAGTCCACAAAGACTATAATTTATGAAGCATGAGCACTAAAAACCCTTGTTCACTTTCTATCTAATTATATGCTACCACCCATTACCAGAGTGAATCCCAATACGAATCCAAACAGGCAAGCCTGGTAGGTGTCTCAGTTCAAAAGTTCCCATGAAGCTAAGGATATCCAGTGCCATCATGGAGATGTCCACTGCGTGGCGATTGCCATTCCTCTTTGGTAAGCCACTCACCACCATGTAGGCATCGCCAATAGTCTCTACCTGTGGAAACAGAGTTGGAAGTCATTGTTACCAATCACTGAAAGACTCAGGTAAATCAGAGATGGAAAAGACTTATTAGGTCATCCTGTAAATGTCTTCTCTGGCTAATTCTCCCCAAACCGCAGATCTTATTGGTACCAATATGTTCATAACTGTGCACAGTGTTCTAGGTAGCACATCTTTGACTACTTGGGCAAGTGTACACAAGACACTGTACAGTAGCCAAATAATACTGCACAGTAGCACATCACAGCACTAACAGTGCTAATACACTACTGTGCAGTATTATTAGGCTACTGCGCAGTAGCATCACTTAAAAGACGTTTGCCAGAGCTACTGCACAGTAACTCCAGTTACTGTGTATTTATTTAGAACTTGATTATACAAGTACTAAATAAATGCGCAGGAATCACTGCAGTAGTGTCTCATGTAGACTCACCCCTTGTTACAGAAAACTAATTATGGAAAGCTATGTAAAACACACTAGGGAGAAGTAATCTTGGCCTCCATTTCTCCCCTTTGCCTTTACTTAGAGAACTGGTGATGAGACTTCTTGCCAAGCCCCTAACCCTATCATGCTGTCTGTGACTGCTGTGTTCCCTGATGTTTATTTAAAATTAAATTGAGGCTCTTCCCACCTTGTAAACATCATGATGATCAAGAATGTGGTCAAAGTTCTTGTAGATATCATTCAGCATATCTACCACCTCCATAGGGGTGCTGTATTTACAGAGAGTTGTGAAGCCGACAATGTCACTGAAGTAGATGGTGACTTCTTCAAACAGTTCTGGCTCTACTCCACCAGTCTCCTTCAAAGATTTTACCACTGGCCTATGTGACAGGGAGAGGGGAAACAGATAAATATGCCTTTTGCTTGAGAGGATTTTTTTTCACACAAACACTAACAGCATCACTGCTTAGTGGAGATGATATGCCAAATGATTCACTGAAAATTAGTACAGTATAATAATTTATATTTCTAAAATTACTTTTATCCAGGGAGCTTGAAGCACTCAAGCAATATTAGTTCATTACATTAATTAAGGAAATCTTACCAAAGCTATGTGAATTAGTGAAGAACAAAGGCACATCACAGGCCATAGAGAGGAAGATGGTGTCAAAATTAAAATTAGAATTCAGGAGTTTGATTCCCAGTTCTGTGCTCAAGCCATTAGCCACACTTTTTTTCTCAATGAGTTAAGGACATGGTATTTTTTTATTTCTTCCAATGGAAAAATTAATTGTAGCCTGATATGAATATTTTCTCACTATGATTGTTAGAAGTAATATCACTATGTTCTGAGTATCATGAAAGGAAGATTAGTTATCATGACACCTGATATTTATTCAAAGGAATTAAATTCTTCTTTATGAAGACTATAGGACAGGAGAGACGTAGGGTTAATCAGGCCTTCTGGGGATGAAAAGGACCTGGAAAATTCAATTGCTGCAAGATGAGCTGCTCCTTGTCTTCTGAGACAATAAGAGATTCATAGACCCCCATAGCCAAAAGGAACCACTATGCTCATCTTTTCTGACCTCCTGTAGATACAGGTACAGAATTTTTCCTAAAAGCTGTTATGAACCAGTTCCCCATCACTGATCACTTTTAAAACAAATTTTAATTCGGATAAAACATAAAACCAATACCCTGACCACTTAGACGCATGAAGGTCCAGACTTCAAAATGGACTTTATCTGACAAACATTGAAAATATAAACTCCATATTTTCAAAAATATATCTTCAAAACTTGGGAAAGAAACCATACATGTTGTTTTTCCTATATGGCACACACAAAAGTGGTCCACACACTTTTTATGCCAACAAAAGGAAGCATCTTTAATCAGAGAGATAAAGCCCAACCTATTTGCATTGGCAAATGAGAAAAGGAAGGAAAGGGGAGACATGTAGGCTGCAAATACCTAGAACTGCAGCATCAAACTTGTCTGGCCCTATGGGCCAGATGAGTGGTGTGGAATTGGTCCACAGGATAAATGAGTGGTGCAGGACCAGCCTCTTGGGCCAAATTGAGCCCATGGACAACCCCCCCCCCCAGTTGCCCCCCCGCCCCCCCCCCCCCCCCCCGCCCCCTTTTCCAGTCTGGAACCTGGAGGGAAGAACTTCAGCATCTAAGACACTTAGCTGCCACAATGGGAACAAATCACACTAACAAACCAGACTTCTTCCCACAGTGCTACAGGGTCTGCAGTGCCCCGCTCTCACCCAGGCACTTGGCTACAGCCACAGGAAGGTCCCCCCATCAAGGCTGCTAGTTGGAAGATGCAGCTCTGTGGGCCACATCCAGCCTGTGAACCACATATCTGACACCCCTGACCAAGAACGGGACAAAAAAAACACATCAGTGGACAAGTAAACAAACCAAGATTTTGGTGACAGTCCAAAAACGTGATGAGTCATCTTCCAGCTCAGCAAGACAGCCTTAGGGAAAATGGCACCCTAGGTGAATTTGTATTTTGGTGCCCTTTCTTTGTATTTTGGCACCCTTTTCTTGGTGAGCTTGTAGACTCCCATGATGCACCTTTGCCTGAACTCTGATCCCAGCTCTTGTTCCCTTTTCCTGAGCTCTTAGTATTCATTCTGGCTTCTAAGCCTTGCCTTGATCCTGACTGTGACTCTCGGGCCTTATTCTGGCATGATCTGTAGCTTCCTGATTCTGGTTCTCAAACCTAAAATAGCTTTCTGTTGTTTGATTCTGGCTTTCTGACCTTGGCTTGTTCCTGACCTGCTCTGGCTTAATATCCGGGCTAAGGCTCAGCCACAATCTCCAGACTCTGGCTATGACCCTGGGTTCCCGGCCCTGGCACTGCACCCACCCTTCTTGCAATACAAGGGCACTTGGAGTGTCATATACATTATACCCCTGACACCAGCATGTCTGGCTTTAAGATCCATTGAGGTTTTTGTAGTGATTATTGGATTTAATAAATGCAGGCATACAATGAATGAAAAGAGCTAAACAACACATTTTAATTGTGAAGCACTAGGCATCCTCTGTAAACTCTTTCTCTCTCTCTACCTACCTTAACTGAGGAACCATCTCCCAATACCCAACTTCTGTAGTCTTCTAAGTAAGGGATTGTGTCTAAAATGTAACTTCTGTCACTAGAATTCTGAGCTCTCATTTAGATCTTAACCTCTTTGGGATGAAAATGCTAGACTTCTTAAATCACTTGCATCGCTTAGGCCACCCTATCCATAACTGAGAAAAATTAAAGACAATGCTGGATTCAAGAAGTCAGCCTCCTCAAAAGACTGCCATGTAAGGCTTGGGAGTTGTGTGCATTGATGAGGAAAAGATTTGTTTTCTTCAGTTTATGTCCAGTCTGCCTATGCACTTGACAGAACCCAGTTTTCAGTGCTCTTTGCACATGCGCACACATACATGAACATGTACACTTTCTCCAAATATCTTACTTTGGATAGGAGGTGTTTGGCCTGGTGTCCTGGTTATGGAGCAATTAAACTAATTATATTTTGCCTCCCTTAATTGTTTTCCTTTTTCAGTTAGCAATGATCTTCTGGCATTGCCCATTTCCTAATGGGTATATCTGCTGTTGAAACTGCTGCTGTATACTACTACACTTCTGGGGAAGATGAACTGATTCCTATAGCTATCCTTTGTAAAATGTATTAGACCCTTTAAGATCCTAAGAGATGGAAAAGCTAAAAAGTTATAAAGCACAAAGTCAAATGGACTGTTCTCCTGCTTGTGTCAGGGAACTGAATATCTGAAAAAATGGGCACAAAAGTAAATATTATTTCTGTTTGTGAAACATTTGCTCCCTCTTCTCCCATAGACTTTATTCCAGGAAGCTAGCTTTAAATCCATCTATCCATCAGGGGCATCACCATCCTCTTCCTGGTAGGCGAGGGCTGAGGTGGGCTAGACAAAAACTTGGCGGGGGGGGTCTGTACTATACATCTTCTGGCCAATCTTACTTATTCGGCTTTTTTAACAATACCTACTGAGATGTGTTTTATCTATGTTATCTACAAAAGAAGAATAAAAATATATACTGTATACAAGCAGATTGGGCTGTGCTGGGTCAGGAGCACTGTGCCTCTGCAAGCTGTGGGTGGGAGCAGGGCAGGCTCAGCTGCATGGGGTGGGTGGTAGTGGCCTGGGAGAGATGCAGAGGGCTTGGACAGGGGTGGTGCTGGGAGGGGTCACTACAGGGGGAGCTAAGGTGAATTTTGAAGTGGCTATACCCCCCAAGCCCCCTCCCCCAGCACCATCCCTGCTGTCCATCTACTAGCATTTATAATGACTGCATGAACTCTGGGACTCTCTGAATGAGCAAGCTATTGGCAAGTTTTTTAGCTTTTTCTGTGCCCACACTGCACTTACAGATCCCTCTGTGGCATCCATCTTTATGTCTTCCAGATGTGACTGATGCATAAAAGAGGGCTGGTTTAGCCAGTTCCAGGCAAACAAACCTCTTAAATGTGATTAACAATCAAATAAGTCCTTTAACATTATGGGTCAGAGCAGTACACCACAAATGTGAAAATGCTCAAATGTGAGACACATTTAAATAGTACTTACAGACCCAACATTACAAATCAAATGAATCAGGAAGCCCTTACCGCAGTACCAGCCTTTTTCACCCAAACACAATTTGCAGATATCTAAAGATATTTTACAATGTCTCCCTAATTCCACCCCCCCTTTACTCAAAATCACTACACTTTAAATATAGATCAACCTAGTTTTAACTTCCTGTCTGTATTTCCTAGTCAAGACTGATTTAGCAGGTTGCCTTCAGTTTAATTTTAACCATGTGCTTAAGTGCTCTGCCTAACTGAATCTTATGACCTGTATGGTGGATCAAAGCAACTCCTGGGCAGCTGACAAACTGCTGAAAGTCTGAGACTCATTTTGTATAAAGAATCCATGGTTTCTCTCTATGTTATCCACTGTTCTCAAATGTCCAGCAGTCAAAAGAGGTACAGAGGGTCTGGGAATCCCCTACATTTGCCTTTGTTTGAGCAGGATAAATGAAAGAATTAATAAAGAGATGGGGTGGAAGTAGGCTTTAATCTTCTCATACAAAGAAAGATAGGGCAATCATTTTGTATTTTTCTAGAGCTATTCATCCTGAAGGATCCCAAAGTACTTCATACACTGTTAATATCAGGATAACTTTCTCTACTATTTAAATGATTTCTTTTCTTGATCAGGATACAGCAGCTGTTTTAACAACATCTATTACATACACCGAGGCTGGGACACTACTCACATGAACAGTGCTGTTTAGTTAAGTTTACATAGTTACTTTAATTTATAAATTTAATATCACCAGACCCACATTCAAAGCCCTGGGAGCCCTCATGAAAAATCAAAACTTAGTGTTTTGAAGACCATTTTTACTTATATTTAAATTAATTGTTCTAAAGATAACAGGGGCATGAACCTGAGTAGCAAGGTCTACTTGCAGCTAAAAGTAATTATGCCATTCATCTCACCAGGATGAATTTTGCCTAAGACTAAAGCCTCTGCATCCAGGAACAGGCTTCAGTCCAAAAAAACCACAAAAGTACAAACATGGCCTTCCCTCCATCTGACGATTGGAAATGATCTTTGCAAATGCTTTTGATAGCTGCCCTCAACCCACTAACTTAACCTCAATCTTATTTTATCTATGCAAAGCACAGACAACTAGCACTCAGCCACACCCCAGCTTCCAACAGGCAAATCTTACTGTTCCTCCTACTTTGCCAGCCACAAAACTGTAAGAATCCTTAATGTCACAATCAATCTAATTCACCACACAACTTCCTCCATAAGTGGGGGAGCAGTCAGTAACCGTACTTGCTTAATCTCTTGCAACTCATCTATAAACCACAGTGGTCTAATAAGAAGGGGAAATTGCAGAAAAATGCTTAGGCAATACAGTCCTAACAGCTGTGAATAAAAAAAATCCAAATGAGCAAAGTTTCACTTGGCCATTAATGTTATGTCTATGGGAAAAACATCATTCAACTAGTCCTTTATAACAAAAACCCTGAAGGGACAAAAGTGTCCCAACTAAGAAAATTGTCAGTAACTATAACGACATGGGATCTCTAATTAGCAGAAAGGTCCATGGCCTGAATTTTATGGCATGTCTGAAAGGTGAAAACATAAATCATAGGTAATGAAAAAATGAAAAGGGCTAAATTATACCCTTATTCACCTGCTTATCAATGACAGAATAAGCTGATCCATTGTCTCTGACTTGACTCTATGGAGGCAAATGCTGTGAAGTGTTATCATTTAGTCTATGAAGCAAGTGCTATTCGTGCCTTGATAGTCTGTGAGTGTCAAGCCTCCCACAATGAGTAAGATCCATAACTGGGCCTCACAATTAATGTTCAGTAGGGCTGGGCAAAGCTTTGTTCCCTGATTTGATCTGGCAGAGATTCGGCCTGATTCGGTGGCTGAATCTCTGAATCTGAATCGAATCAAAGTACCCTTTAATCTCTCTGAATCGAATTGGAACCCTCTGAGTCAATTCGGAGAGATTTGGAAAGAATCGGCAATTTGGACATAGACACAGCTTTAAATGATTTTTCTACATACCTCTAGGTAGCAGGCAACTCATGAACACTGCAATGCTGGGGCACATGGAGTGTCCCACAGAAGTACGGGGGGGGTCCCCAGAGCATTCGGCAGCAGACCCAGAAGTGGACCAGAAGCACTTCTAGCCCACATCAGCGTCCACCAGGGAGTGAGCAGGGGGGTCCCCCTGCAGCCCCCTAGCTAGACGACTGGTCCCTCTTGGGTCTGGGAGGGCACCCAAGGTCCCCCCGCAGCCAATCTCTGAGCTGGGAGACGTAGGGGGCCCCCCTGTGCATTCCCCGGCAGACCCAGGAGTGGACCAGAAGTACTTCCAGTCCACTTCCGGGTTCGCCACCAAGCACATGGAGGGCTCCCGCACTCCTGTGGGATGCTCCATGTGCCCCAGCATCACAGCGTTCACAAGCCGTGCTGGTACCTCAAGGTATGTAGAAAAAACTTTTAAAGCTATGTCTATGTCCAAATCACTGATTCTCTGAATCAGCATCGAATCTTCAGTTCGGATTCAGCCAAATCAAATCAGGGACAGTGATCCAAATCAACAAATCAAATAACTGTCCCCGATTTAGGCCGAATCCAAATCTAATAGGGCCTGCTTCGCACACCCGTAATATTTAGTACCTACCCCTGGTCAGCACTCACCCTGGGAGCAGCATGAAGTTAAGCTTATCTGCTCTATCCCGCTCTGCCTTGTATAGCTCTGTTCTCTCCTCCACCAAGTGCTCCAGGTTCCGGGAGTATAGCTGTAGACGTCGGATTAAAGTATCCATGTAGCTTTCATTGGTCTGGCTATGGTAGTTACTGGAAACAGTGGAGGGGAAAAGATGGAGATAAAGACAAAAATAAATAATAGAAGATTATTTCAGCATCTAGTTCCCAAAGTCTCCCAATGCTTACTAGTAAAGAGTTTATGTTCAGTCTTGAAGGCCTGTGGCCCATATTGGTCCCCCACATTTGTAATTTCCCAGCACCCCCAAATGACTTGATCTTGCTAATGTATTCAATTCCAGGTTACCCAAAATAACCTGCAACACAAATGTATGCTGGGAAAGAGAAACTCAACTAGCCAGATTCCTAAGAGGGAGGGACAGCTGATAGAAGGCAGCAATTAGATATATTTGATATTGACTATAAAATCAAAAATGCCAGAACAATTTGCAAATGTTTGATGGCATCAACAGAGCAGTAACAAGGCCCTGGGTCAGATTCATTCATTGGATTCCACTGGTGCAACCAAACCTGGAGCCTCCTATCAGATGAATGTCAGCCAGGAGCAGAGGTACAGTAGCACAAAGCAGTGATAGCTCTGTTTCACTGCAGGCTGAGTAGATAGGCTCAGACTGTCTGAAAGATTCTGGCATTCAGATTCTTAAAAGAGATCTGGCTAGATTTTACAGTTGTCTTTCTTCCATCAAAACTTCTATTTATAATGACAGTGAAACCACCTCTGGCCTTCCTCAGGATGACCTCCCCTTTGGTAAAGCTGCCTCCAGTTACAGAATATGTGATCTCTGCTCCCCCATGTCTGTGGAGGTGAATGTAGTTCTCCTCTAGTTTGACCTCATCTGGAACATTGTGCTCCACTTCAGATACCACATTATCAGAAAAAATAAAGCTGGAGGTGGGCAGCAGAAATTGATCAGGGAGCAAATGGATTTGTAGGAAGAAGAATAAAAAGAGAGTAACAGTTTACCATGGGAAGTGTCTGAAAGCCCACTTTTTATTTAATTTACCTTTTTAAATGTCCCAAAACACTAAAAAGTGGACCAGTTAGGAACAACCCTACACTCGTCAGGTAAGAGGGCAGAATGTTCAAGTAGGATTGTTTATATTACCAAATTTAACGATTGTATAAACTCATGTAAGCTGAATCCTCTAACTACAGATAGAAAGTAGGGTAGATTTGCATCTCATATACTAACCAGTGTGTGTGTGTGTGTGTGTGTGTATTAAAAATCCTCCCATAGATCCTTTTCAAAATCCTAGATCTACCCATGGTTTTCCAGATACAAAGAAATCAGAAGCTTTATTAATATGCTATGGGCCTAGGTCTGTATTATTTAGTTTATGATCAAAGCAAAAACAAATATAATTTTATTTGAACATGTATTAATTTGCCATATCATACATTATGTATTAAAAAACACAACAAACTAAGCAAAAATAATCAAAAGATGTTGTTTAATTAGTTCTGTAGTCATTAAAGGTACATCTTTCAGATTCATAAAACAAAATCAAGCCTTCTTGAGCATCCAGACAGTGCATCCAATGCTTTGCTGGACATTTTTTGCACACCAGAGTTAATGTTTTTAGCTGGAATTAAAAACAGTCTGCAGGGCTATGAAATAGGAGCTATATTACCAGGAGCAGCTAACAAACAGCACAATTGCAGAAGAAAGAATAGCTTGATTAGTGGAACATTAAAACTATTAAAAATGGGAGAGTTGTTAGCACGTGTGGAACCAAGAGCTTAGAAGGAATCAGGTATATTATAATGAGTCATAAAGTCACATGGCCCCCTCACTGCTGCCTAACTAGAAATACTGCTGCCACTGCCAGGAAGTTAATTTTAAACTTCAGCTAGACAACGAATGAAATAGGGATACAACTGCACCTTCCCTAGATCCCCCCTATATGTGTGTATACACACACACACACACACACACACACACACACACACACACTTTGCATAGTTTATAAAGTGTAAATCTACCCTGCCTTCTACTTGTTTTCAGACTAACATGGCTAACTATGTACCCATAACTACCTAAACCTTTGGTAACCTGACCCTTTCAATAACCTCAGTTTGGTGTTATCTATACCCATATCACCTATCAGCTCAAGCCACCTAAATCTGTCATCATCTCATGCTCAGATCCATTCACTTGAGCATCATGAGCCATTATCTGACCCTTGAGTAGTCTCACCATTTAATTATTTTGATGATGTGAGTCTCTAAGGCTAGGGACAGACATTACACATAAACTGGTTTAAGTGATCAGAAACTGGTTTAAACCTGTGACAAAATAGATGTTCAGTGCACATAAACCAGTTTGAAAATGGCTGAAACCAGTTTGAGATAAACCTGATTGAATGTACATCAGACTTACATCAACATCAGACTTAAATAATTTGGGTCAAACCAGTTTATGCAATGTCTGTCCCAGACCCCTTCCTGGTTTAAGTTAAATCAGAGTCCTCCAACATCCCAGATGCTTTACAACTTTGGGCGGGGCTCTGCTCTCTGCTCCAGCCCAGCAGGGCTGACCCCACCCCTCTGCTCCCTAGCTGGAGCTCCATCTACCTGGTTTCCTCCTGCTCCCCTGCCCCTCACCTCTCCCTGCTCAAGCAGGGATTCCCGCCTCGCCCCTGCCTTACACAGACACCTCTCAACATTAGCTAGCATACCACATGCTGGCTACGGTCCGTGCTGTGGGAGATGGGACAAAGACAGACAGGACAGTGTTGGTTTAGGGCTTTTTGGAGCTGATCAACAGGTAGCTGGTAATGCCCCTCCATTCCTTCCTTGGAAAAAGTTGTTAATGAAGAGCGTGAACTAATGAGAGAGGCTGTTGTTTTGTTTGATGTGTTGATAAATGCTAACAACTCCCTGTGTAACTCCCTGTTGTGCAACTCAATGCTCTGTTATCAACAACAAGGGGGAGGGAACCCCTCCCTAACCAGAAGGTCCTTCCAGGGAGCAAGCCATGCCTCCACTCCAGTCAGCATGTGGAAGGGAAGGGAGGGCTGCTCTAGCACTCCCCCCCCAGCTTTTAGCCTGAGCCACTGCATGCACGTGCCTGCATTTCTTCAGTCCAGGGGGGATGTCTTCACGGTTACGAACCATTTTAGCCTAGCCAGGTTAGACTAACCTGCAAAGATTGAATCAATTCAGGCTTAGGCTTTTTGAATGTCTGTCCCTAGCCTAATTACCTAGTATGGCACTTTCAAAAGTTGGGTTCTCATGATCATCTCTCTTGCTCACTTGAGCGTGTTCCCTCTCTCACACACACACATACACACTCCTTTTTCTCAAAGGATGAGAGTTCCAGTAAACAAATATTTCCACTGACTAAGCCATTCTGGCATTTACAGACATACTGTATTTATAAACATCAGGTTTCCAGGTGCTGTGAGTCCAGAACATTTTACAGAACAGAGACTGTGGTGCTTACCTGAATATTTTAGCCAGACTGCTCTCAATTTTCTTGAAGTCAGGCCTTTTCTCTGAGTCTTCGTCCCAGCAACTTTTTACAAGCGTATATACCTGAGAATGTATAGTTCAAGGGAAATTCATATGAGCAATTGGCAGAGACGGTAATGGCAATGAACAGCAAAAGTAACAATCTGTTCATGAGTCAATACAGGATTCCTTTCCCATCTCTTTTGTCCAGTAACCCATTAGCATATGTGACTGATTATTCTTAGTCAGTAACTAAGACTTTCATTACTCGTATCTTACAGCAACAGTCATTTCATGTTTGCCAGTGATCAGTGGACAGCTAGTACTGATGTTCAGATAATACTGATGCTCAGTACTAACAAGCAGCATAAGCTAAATTTGAAACTAATGTCTGTAAAAGAAAGGGAAGCAAAAGATCCCAAGCCTCCAATGGGTGATGAATTGTAATTATGTATTGGCTATTTATCGG